ATTTTTAATCTGACTGACAAAGTTTCGCGTTGAAATAATGTGTAAGACAAGCCATGTACCTACAGCACTGATGTCAAAAGTCAAGACCAACTCTGTTTTCGTTCTCAGTGGGAGGCGGAGGCACTTGGAAAATTACTGGATTGGTAGCAGATGCCAACAACAACCACCCGCTGGCAAGGCTGTCTATGGTTCCCTTTTTTGAAGGTTGCTTACAAGCAAGCTGATGACGGGGCTGACTCCCTGGCATATGCCACTACCAATTTGCCATCGAAACGAACCATAGAGGATTGGTTTTCCCACCAATAGAGTTGAACCTTCGACCTTCTGCAGGACAACAGTACTACTCCGCTGCGTCACTCCTGTTTTTTTTTTTTCGGTAGCCTTGCAGAAACTGTATAGGCATTTTGCGCTCTTTTGTTTTCGTTGCTGGTATTTCCAGGTAGGCTTAGTCCTTCCCTGAACCGAAGGGATTGAAAGTTTCTGCGTACTGTTAGCAATGAGTAACCGCGTAATGCGACGATTGTGATTATGTATGATCGAGGCCTTTTTAACGCATGTATTAATGAAATTGCAGTAAGGCTCTGGCTTGGAAGTACAGTCAGTCCGCGAAGGCAGCACGGAAGCGATTGCGTTGAAGTTGTTCGGCGCTTTGACCGCTGCATTTATTCGGTCCAAAATGGCCGCTGTCGCTGTGCTGTTCTGCTGACTGCTTCAATTCGACCACTTGTTGCGGATCTCAGAAGTGAATAAGGAAGGAGCAGACCAGTCTGCTAACAAAACACATCGCTGTCGTGTTTATTTAGGAGAAGCAGAACAGTAGCTTTCGCAAGTCATATTCTCAAGTTCTGAAGTGTCGAGGAGGTGCAGCCAGCGTTATCCTCCTCTTCTTCCTCGTCTTCCTCCTCCTCCTCCCCCCTCTCGTTATCACCACCAGCAGCAGCATCAGGTTTGGCGAGAAGGAAGAAAATCATCTCTATTAGTGCTGTTACAGCGCCGAAACAACGACGCTTGCACAGGTGCTAAAACCTACTTCTGATGCACATGTGACGTCTCCCTGTTGCTGGTCTTCAGAATATTGCGGCTGACCTTCTGCTGCCTTATAGTAGCGAATAGTCAATAAAAACCGCTTGAGGACGACTAATTATTCCGGGAAAAGAGGAAGCTCGCGCTCTTTTCTCCGACGGAAGCAGATAATTTCAATTTTCAAATCAGCATGGACGACCAAATTAACAAGGAGCAGCAGGAAAGGGTTTGTTTTCTTTTTCTCGCTTTTTAATTTTTGCATATTTCTTTGCATGAATACAACCTCTCTCAGTTGATCTACGAACTTACCAGACTTGACCAAAATCTTGTAGAAGTCGAAAGGGCCACTCGATTGTCGCATGATCAGATTTATGCGCCACACACTCATCACAGGCTTAATTTCTAGACAGTGCGGTGTGAGCAAAATTTTCGTTATTACTGCTTTCATCGTTCCTATGCAGGGGAGCAGATCTTGACATTTGACACATTTTTTGAAAAATCGCTGTTTACGCTTTCTGCACTTGCTTTCATTGAGCAGTTCTCTTTTTTTTTTTTCAAAATATCTATGGAATTGTCTCGGTCCTGTGATCAGTTATGGACTGTTTCCTTTCCTTTATATTGCATTCATGCAGGTGTAGAATTCACACCAACAGCACTGCTGAAATCACGGATTTCATCGTCTTCAGTCTGACGACATATAAAAAATAACTCTTTGCTTTGCTTTCACTCAGGGGGTCATGTCATGCACCGCTGTTTTCGAAATTCTGTTGCGCGACTTGAGGAATAATCAACTCTACCGACCACTGAAATACTGCAAGCGAGGTTGTGGTTGTAGTTGGAGAGAAAAGCTCGTCCGCTGTTTAATTTTTTTTCTCCTGTCCACCGCTCTTTCAATTTTGATGCGTTTTGTGCTGTGCAACGGCTGCACAAAACGCATATTGTTAAGAGGTTGTCTGTGTGTGTCCGCAAAAGCTTGTCCGCAATTTCAGGAACCACAAAAACTAGGGCGCTGAAAATCTAGGGGAATGTTCCCCACTCACGTGTGACCCCGCAAATTTAACGTACAGCCCAGTAAAAGTTTTGGCAGGTGAAATTATTATCATGGGAACTGCGGAAGGCTGGAATTTTGTGGGCATGTCTCATGCTCACGTGCACCCCGAAAATTCAAATTCAGCCTTTCCTTGCCCGAGGGTAACACGTACGGCCCCGTGGAATTTTTGGCGGGTAAATTATTTCGGGACTACGAAGTCTGGGAACGATCCCCTGCTCACTTACGACCTTGCAAATTCAAATTCAGCGTCTCCGCACTCTCGGGCACCTCTATCGCCCCATAAAAATTTGGCAAGGAAATTAGTGTATCGAAAACTACGAAAGCTGTGGACCCGAAATTTCAAGGCGATGTCCCCTGTTAACGTACTATCCCTGCAAATTTGGATCCAGCTCTCACGCATCCATGGGTACTATATACGGCCGGAAATTTTTTAGGGGATTTTGCATGGAATTTTTCTCGTAAACTTCAAAAGCTAGGAAGCCTAAATTTTAGCGTGTCGTCTACTGCCCACGTACAACTCCGCAAATTTTCAGCGTCTCCGTGGAAGTTTTGGTGAAAAAAATCATTATTTTGGAAGCCAGAAGACTTAGAAGGCTGAAAATTTCAAGAGAATGTTTCCTGCCTAAACAGGGGCGTGACAAACTCGCATTCAGTTGTTAAGTGTGTCGAGGTCCCACGTACAACCACATGAAGGTTTTGCCTCAAAGATCATTCAAAAGCCAAAAAATTAGGAGATTGGAATTTTGGAAGAATATTCACCCTTCGAGGTTTCAAATTCAGCTGTCACGTACCAGTGCGTGACTATTTTTCAACATTTCAACTATTTTTGCACAGACAAAGTGCAAAGCAGTGAAAATCATTAACAGGCAGTCATTTGCTGGACGGAATTACACAAAAAACATGATCCCACCGGCTGTTCTGGTGCGCGCTGCTATTTATTACCTCTCTGAGTGGTACTCTCAAAAGTTGCCAAGTAGCTCTTTCTTTACCGTTCCGAGTCTCCCTTAGTTAGGCATATTAGCAGGCGCAACCACTAACACTACTTGTCCGAAACAGACAGTTGGTTAAACTCAGGCTAGAATGCACTAAGCGGACCGGTGCGGTAA